TAACCCCATTTCTTCCTTCAGTTCGGTGTGCTGGAAGAGGAGAGAAGTTTTGGGGATCTTTGCTGGCCTCCGTCACCAGTCCTGGCCTTGTGGTGAAACCGCGTCTCCAGCACACAAGCTGCCATCTCTTTTCTCAATAACAACTCAAAGTCGCCCGGCAGGCTGTCCAGTGGAAGATGCTTACCTTTACTGGACCTCTTGAATCATCTTCAAACTCTTGTTGAGCAGAAGACTTGACTTTGAATGCGTTCTCTTTGCCTGAAGCTTGCTTGAGCTCAGTGTGGGTGACGTCCACTAGAACCATCCTTCAAAATCGTGTACGAGACCCTGGGGAGAGGCTGCTCAATAGCTGAGAGGGGTTTGCCGACTGTCTTGGCTTGGGAATGATGACCTTGGGCGTCTCGTACTTTGGAGGTACCACTTGACTGAAGAATGGAGACAGATGGCTCTTTGTCGGGAGGCCGGGCTGTAGGAGAATCGCTCTGGGACTGCCTTTCAAGCGTGAAGCCTCCCCTGTTTTCACAGCTTCATGGCTCAAGCCAGCCTTTGTCTCAAAAGGATCCATAAAATTGAAGGTTGTTAGGAGCTCCTCTGGCTGATGCTTCTGCTTCCGTCCAGCTGGAAGATCAGTTCTGCGAGTAACTCTTCTGCTGGTTGGGACTGAATGGACCGGACGCTCCTTTTCCCCAAGTTGGCTTCTCCAGAAGGAATTCTGTCATTGAGGGTTTCTGGCTGGAAAGAGTGAAGTCGAGTTGTTAGGAACTCTCTCTAACGTTGGCGCCCAACGTGGTGCAGCACTCTTCGTCTCCAGCTCCGTACTAGGAGATTAAATTCTGGTGGAACTTGCTTGTTTCTGGTGACTGTCGAGTTCTAAACTGGTTTTGGAGCTTAGGGAGCAGCTAGGGTCTCCACAGCTCCTTAGAGCCATCTGCACGCCCTTTGGTTAGATGTGCGTAGCCAAACTCCGTGAATTTACTTAAATTCACATCTCGAGTCTTTTGGTGCCTCACGTTCTGCACTGGTGGGATGCAGCGACCAGTTCTGCGGGACTCTCGTCTATCTTATGACTCAGGGTGGTCGAAGCCAAGTGCGGATGTTCAGGGATGCTTCCTGCCACGCTCCCATCAAATGACGGCAGCACTTGAGATGTCTGGGCAATTCTTCGTCTCTTTGTCCAGCCCTCATCCTTCAAAGTCTGTGGTGTCCATTTCGCTGCCCTCTCTCCATCTCGGCTATCTCCAGGGTCTCATCAGCTGAACTGAAGTTGCTTCTGCTAGTTGGCCAGTTGGAGGAGTAGGTGGTGGGAATCAGCCGCGTCCCTCAGGAGCTCATGGATGGTCATTCATCCCGTATGGATGGTCACTTTATAGTACTGGGGCCAGAAGGTGATGTGGTGTCAGCATAAGGTCCTTCTGCCCGGGCTGGAGAACAGCTGAGGTGTCCGCAGGGAAGGTGACGGTCCCTTTTCTCCTGGGGATTCCTGGTGTGGACATGCCACGGTTTGGGGACCTGGCCCATGACTGGAGCTGGGGAGGCGGTTCTGTACCAAGGGTGGTAGATATGTCCTCCTGCCTAAAATCCTTCTGCCTGTTGGGCAGTGCATCTCCTTCTGAGCAGAAGAGGCAGTGCTACTTGGGTTTGAGAGCCGCGGATGGTTTCCAACCTCCCATTTGAGGTCCTGTTTGAATTTTCTTCTGGCTGCAAACCATCCTGCTCTTTTCTCCAGGAACGACGCACCCTTGCGAGCTCTGTTTTCGCCCAACTCCAGGGCTGAGGAGGCTCTTTCCATCAAGGTTCTTCCATCAGGGCCGCGTTTGTGTAAGAGCTGGGATGACATTATCGTGAGCGTGTGGCTGCTTTTGGGGTTACGCTTTGTGAGGATGGGGCTGGGAGGCTTCACGTACGTGTGGATGGTTTGGGCATGGAGTGGCTGACACGCCGGAAGGCTGTGCCACCGTTCAGCGTGACCTGGACAGGCCGAAGAGTTGGGTGGAGAGGAACCTCATGAAGTTCCACAAGGGCAAGTGTGGGGTACTGCATCTGGGGAGGAATAACCCCATGCACCAGTACAGGTTGGGGGTGACCTCCTGGAGAGCAGCTCTGTGGAAAGGGACCTGGGAGTCCTGGTGGCCGACAGGATGCCCATAAGCCAGCAATGTGCCCAGGTGGCCAAGAAGGCCGATGGCATCCTGGGGGGCATCAAGAAGAGTGTGGGAGTGCATCCTCCCCCTCTGCTCTGCCCTGGGGAGGCCACATCTGGAGCACTGTGTCCAGTTCGGGGCTCCCTGGGTCGAGAAGAACAGGGAACTGCTGGAGAGGGTCCAGCAAAGGGCTATGGAGATCCTGAGGGGACTGGAGCATCTCTCTGATGAGGAAAGGCCGAAGGACTTGGGGCTGTTCAGTCTGGAGAAGAGAAGACTGAGGGGGATCTCATCAACGCTGATCAATCCTTCAAGGGAGGTGCCGGAAGATGGGAACGGTCTGTTTCCAGTGGTGCCCAGTGACAGGATGAGAGGGAACGGGCACAAAGGTGACCATGGGCAGTTCCATCTCCACCTGAGGAGGGCCTTCTCTGCTGTGAGGGCGGCAGAGCAGTGGCAGAGGCTGCCCAGAGAGGGGGGGGAGTCTCCCCCTCTGGAGCCATCCCAAACCCGCCTGGACGCCGTCCTGTGCCACTGCTGGAGGTGCCCCTGCTCTGGCGGGGGGTGGCACTGGATGATCTCCAGAGGGCCCTTCCCACCCCCACCAGTCTGGGTTTTGTGAATCCTCATGCTTCTGTACCGGTCTCCTGTCCTCCAGCTGGCGATCTCTGCCCTCTGGGTGCCACCAGCACGGCGTCGCTGCGCATCCGTCCTCTTCCCTCACGGAAAAAGTGATGGAACTGCAGAAAGTGAACGGTCGCATGAGGAAAAAAAATACCTTTGATGTTTTTGTGAATGTTTTCAATTTTAATCTGGTGTTCTCACGCTACGAGTCGTCTCTAAATGAATGCCTTCTCCTGCTCTTTGTTGAAACTGAAAGAAATAGTGCCTTTTTTTTTTTGCGTGGGGAGGGCTTTTTCTTTGCGTGAGGAAGGTCCCCCGGCTGGCCGTGTTTACGTCTCTCGTTGTTAGAGCCGTGCGCATACCCAGCTCGTGTTTCATCCCGGCGTTAAATGTCAAACCGCCGCCGTCCTGCGCTTCGGTTGCCCAGAGAGGTTGTTGAGGCCCCGTCCCTGGAGGTGTTCAAGGCCAGGCTGGAGGTGGCCTTGGGCAACCTGGGCTGGTGGGAGATGTCCCTGCCCATGGCAGGGGGTTGGAACTCGATGATCTTCAAGGTCCTTTCCAATTTAAACCATTCTATGATTCGGCGTGCAGCTTTGGTTTTGATCTGCCTCCGAAAGCCGTGTGCCTCAAGACAGAGCGTGTTGTGGAGATGATCTTTGGGTTGGAAAGTGAAGATCGGTTTAGTTGATAAGGTCCTCGGGGTGTCACCTCTGCATGGTGAGGGTTGGGGACGTTGTCACCCAGGCTGGGCCGGTTCATCGTCGCGAATCTCTCCGGGAACCCGACTGAAGTTGAGTCTGCTCGTAGGTGAAAAGGAGAAAGGAGTCTTTATTTTCGAAACTTCCAACTCGGGCTGAATTGTACGCCTGCGGAAGAGCCGTGTCTGCCCCGTAGTACCCACACGTTCTCAGTAGAAAGTCAGTTTTTACTTAAAACTCCCAAATCCACAAGACTTGGGGGGGGTTTGAAGATCCTCCTTGTGCAATCTGGTGGTGACGGTGCGTTGTCTTCCTTCCCGCGAGCGCTTGTGCTTTTTTTTTAGCGATCTGGTGGTCAACGCTAGAATCTAAAAATCATCCTCTTCTGACAGCTTGGAAATACTTTGTTGTCACGTGCCCAGAAAAAAAACTCCCCAAATAACGTTAATCTGAAGTTGGAGGTGTGTTCTGTGCAGTGAGAGAGAGAGTCCATATTTGATAGCTGCAGCCGGAGACTAAGAATTCATTTATTTGCCCAACCTGACGTTTCTTTAAGGTCTTCCTTCCCTCTTCTGCTGCCGTATACATCTCTTCTTGCTAAATACTACTTCAGGGTGGAGGGGTTTTTTCCCCGCTAAATATTGATCGGCGGTCCAGGTAATCCTTGTTGGAGCTGAGGGCGCGCGAGCCGAATTATTTCAGCTCTTCGTAGAATTTCTGAATATGCTGCGGTAAATTCGGGGCGTGCGAATAGCTTCTTTTAGTACCGCCAGTCATTAGCGATCACCAAACCGTTAATAATTTTGCCGTCTTTGTTGACTCAGCGACTTCCAGGCGGTTGTAGAGCGGTGCCGGGGCTCTCTGGCTTTGAGGTGGTTTTTATTTTGGCGTCCTTTTTGGTAGGATCTCCGTACCCGCCTCCTGCTGCCGAGTCCCCCTTTCTGCCGTCGTGTCCGTAATTGCTTAATTCTAAACGCTGTGGATCGATGAGTTCAAGTTTTAAGTACGCACAGAAATTCAGATTGGAAAAAAAAAAAAAATCAAATCATTTAATCATTTTAAAGAAAGAACAAATGATCTTACCAAAACTAAAATGTGTCGTGGGTGTTTCAGGAAAGGAAGAGCTTTTTATTGATCATCTTTGAAGATCTCGTTCCTTAACAGCAGACCCCAAATCCAAGGGTTTCTTCCCAAGACGTGCTCCGGTGGTGACTCTCTGTGGCCCGGCGGTGACTCTTGGTGGCCCAGCCAAGCTTTCCTTCCCCGACTGCCTTCGTTTTCCCACCGGACGCCGGGTGCTTCAGCAGGTCGCGACGATGCTGGGGGTGGAAAGGACTTGTCCCCCCGCCCCGTGGCATCTCGGCCAGGCGAGGGTGGCACGGGCTCTGCCCGGCGGTGCCCACCGCTCCTCTTGGCTCAACCAGCGCTTTCCTCGTAGCTTCTCCTCTCCTCCCAGCCAGGCGGCCGCTCGTCACCTCTCTGGGGCCGGGCGGACGATCGTTGCCGCCGTTGCGGGCTCTCCTCCGAGCTCTTCGGCATGTCCATGGTCTGCTGCGGAGTCACCGGTCCCGATGTGCGCTCTCAGACGGCCCCGGCGGCTTCCATCTCGCGATTACATATCGTTATTTTGCTCCGGGGAGACCTTTATCCGATCCTCCTCTTTCCGTTTGTCCCCTGTCGGGCTCTCTCCGGGTTTATCGCTGTGTAATAGGCACAGACATTATCCACTTTAGCCCGAAAAAGCCTCTTTTGTTGCTCTTTACTGCGAGGACGGGCGTCGGATCCGCTCTCCCCAGGGGGAATTTGCGGTAGGTGAGGCCCATGAGCATCTCCGCCGACGTCAGGTCTGCGCTGGAAGCCGATCTCCTCGTTTGGCCCATCGGGTGGGTGTCACGGCGCCGACACCTTCGTTAGCCAGCCCGTGCGGTCTGAGCCGTGACGGCGACGCGGCGTGAGCTCTCCTGGGGACAACTTACGGGGGCGTTTCGGGGGAGAGGATGCGTTTTCATCTGGGGGAATTCGGGCTTTCTCTTAAGCCTGCTGGTACCTCCCCTTCCCGCTCGCCGACGTTGCCACGCTTTCCTTCCAGGTCCACGCCTGGGAAATCTCCGACCAGTTGCTGCAGATCCGTCAGGATGTGGAGTCCTGCTACTTCGCGGCGCAGACCATGAAGATGAAGATACAGACTTCCTTCTACGAACTCCCCACGGACTCCCACGCTTCGTTACGGGACTCTTTGCTCTCCCACATCCAGAACTTGAAAGACCTCTCGCCGGTCATCGTCACCCAGGTAGGCGCTTGAGCCGAAGGGGGTGGAAGGAGCTGCTCCATAAAACGCCGGTGAGCGCGGGGCTCTCCGAGGCTGCTCCGGGCTGGAAAACCTGGACCCTTCGCTCCTGACCTGCGGTTGAGAGCGTACTGGTGGGTGTGTCCCAGCCCCGTTAAGAGCCATTCACCAGCCGCGGGGGGACAAGAATAGATGCTGCAGGTCACCCCGATGGTGGCTGGCTCCGTTTTTTGTCACCTCCCGACTTTTTTTCTGGGAATTGGTTTCCCTTGGTGGCTTTTCCTCCAGCACGGAGAAGAGAGAAGGTCGATACCTGCAGCCAGCCCGGTCATACCGCCCGGTACAGGATTGTTTGCCCTCCTTCGTTATTTAAGTTAAATTGATTACTTTATCCTCTTGATTGCTGTTTGGAGAGGCTGAGAGGAGAAACGGCTGCTCCGAGGGTTTTCCCTCTGCTCTGAAATGGAGAGAAAAAACACTGATTTGCCCCAAAACTCCCCGGGTGACCTGGGGGAGGAATTTCTCCCGAGGCGTTGACGTGTTCTCAGAAATCCCTTCGTTCTCCGTACGGTGTTCCCCTTATCCGGACGTTTCTGCGGCACAGAGGTGCCCGATGCTACACGGACTGAGACAAGGGTGCCCCAAAATAGCCCGGGGGGGGGGGACGGTGGGCGTTCTGTAATTAACCACGGGGATATTGTTAATTAATATCGTCCCTCTGCAGGCTTGGGGGTTACCTGCCAGCGGTGGCAGTCTGACTCTCGCAGCGCCTTTTCTCCTGTGGATTTGGGTGGATTTCCTCGGTCACCGCGCTTAGCGGCGTTTGGTTTGGGTTGGGTTTTTTTTTTGGTTGGTTGGTTGTTTTTGTGGGGTTTTTGTTTTTTTTTTTCTCCTCTTCCCCTTGCAGCCGGCTTTAGCAATAGCAGACCTCGCCCTGCAGATGGCTTCTTGGAAAGGCTGCGTACAAACACTGGTTGAAAAGTAAGTCATTGTTCGTATCCTTAAACTCCTTCAGTTGTTCCTTGAGTAAACGTCGAGCGGGTGGACCTGCGCGGGTCAAAAAGGCACCCGGCAGCAACCGGCCCCACGAGAGGGGAGTTTTTCCTCTCTGGATTAATAATTTAAAGCGTTTCGGATGATGGTGGGGAGAGGTGGGGCTGTCTGTGGCTCGGGGTGACGGAGGGGCCGTGGCGGCGGCTCAGCGATTTCCCACCTCCCCGGTTTTCTTAAGTGATGATCCCTCGTCCCCTCCCGGCGTTGGTCGTAGTGCGGCGCTGAAAAAGGGGGGTCGAGCCGTTCCCTGACGCCGTTGGGTGTCCCCGCGCCCGGGTGTCACACGCCGAGACTGTCTGCAGGGACATCACCCTGCCCGGTGCTCCCGGGGTGGTTCTGCGGCGGAAGGGAACTTGATTTCTCTGGGCAATGGCACTGAGAATCACAGAATGGTTTGGGTTGGAAGGGACCTTGAAGATCATCAACTCCAACCCCCCTGCCATGGGCAGGGCCACCTCCCACCAGCCCAGGTTGCTCCAAGCCCCGTCCAACCTGGCCTTGAACACCTCCAGGGATGGGGCAGCCACAGCTTCTCGGGGCAACCTGCCCCAGGGGATCACCACCCGCACAATAAGGAGTTTCCTCCTCAGATCTCATCTCCATCTCCCCTCTGTCAGTGTCAAACCATTCCCCCTCGTCCCATGGCTCCCCTCCCTGACCCAGAGTCCCCCCCAGCTCTCCTGGAGCCCCTTTAGGCACTGGAAGGGGCTCTGAGCTCTCCCCCTTTTGGCCTTCTCTTCTCCAGGCTGAACCCCCCCAACTCTCCCAGCCTGTCCTCCCAGCAGAGGGGCTCCAGCCCTCCCAGCATCAGAATCCCAGCCTTTTTTCTTCAATCACCATTTTGTAGAAATAGAGTTTCAAGTATCTCAACAAGAAAGGTAAGTTTTGGGGTTTTTTTTGCAATGCCTTGATTCATGAAAACAGAAGACTAAAATGAAAAGTGACCTTCTCATCACCCAACACCCCCAATCCTTCTCCTCAGGGCTGCTCTCCATCCATTCTCCACCCAGCCTGTGCATGGGATCGCCCCAACCCACATGCAGGACCTTGCACTTGGCCTGGTTGAACCTCATGAGGTTTAGTCATGATGTCTTCATGGGCTGGGAAAGCTTTTGCCATTTTTCTGTTGAAAATTTTGATTTAATCCACTAACGGAGACTCCTCTCGGCAGCGCTCTGCCCTTGCATGTCTTCGAAGTGCCCCTCCGTCCTCTGCCTGACAGTATTGAGGTCTTCCACGCGCGCGCTTGGCTCTCACCTGCCTTCACGCGTTGTCCTTCCTCCCCGTTGTTTCAGGTACAGCAACGACGTTACGTCGCTGCCCTTCCTGCTGGAAATCCTCACGGTGCTGCCCGAGGAGGTGCACAGCCGATCCTTGCGCATCGGAGCCAACCGCCGGACCGAAATCATAGAAGATCTGGCGTACTATTCCAGCACCGTCATCTCTCTGCTGGTAAGGAGACCGAGCGGCCACCAAGCCCTGGTTGACCGCTAACGACATTCATGCAGCTTCTTATCCCCCTCCACGTCACTGATCCGGATTATTCCGGGTTGGATGCGCTCAAAAAGCTGCTCCGTGTGGAACAAGCTGATTTTATTACGTATTTCGGTTCCGAGCAGATCAAAATCACAGTCAGGTTCCTGCTCTCAGCGCTGGGTTGAAAATGGAGCTCGTTATGGAAATTTAATAACTTTCCCATCCTCTCAGCCGGACTCTCCGTGTGAGGACGGCGTTGTTTTCATTGGTGGTGCGGGGTGCGGTGTGTCTCCTGCCACCGTGTGCTCTAAGCTCAGGAAAAGGTCTTTAAGCTCCTGGACCATCCGTTCGGTTGTTGGTTGGGACTGGGATTCCTGCATGGGTGGTGGTAGTTTTGGGTTATTTGAGGATTAAGCAAGAAATGACTTCAGCCCATTATGGCCGACCTTCTCCAGACCTTCTCCAGATCTTCTCTAGACCTTCTCCAGACCTTCTCTAGACCCACCTGTCTCTCTCTCTCTATCTCTCAGAAAAAGGGCATTCAGATACTTCGAATGGTGATTTCTCTCTTCTCACGCCCCTTTCAAACGTCAGAATTTCGGACCGTTATGTGGTAAGCCGAGGTCGTGCATTTCCCTGCAGGTCACGCTTAGTATTGGCCAAACAGATGGAGAGACTGTGGCTGAATCTCCCGGTTCTTCAAAGCTTCCTCGTCCGGGGATCAGCCGTGCTCTCCAAGAACGAGACTCTTGTGGGCCCCAAAAGAGGGCAGGTTTGGGGAGCGGAGCGTACGTGTTGAGGTGAATTGCTTCAGGGACTGAGAAGAAGCGCTCCTTCCTTTCCAGAGACGCTTCTCGTGCTCCTCTAGTCTCGTTTGAGCTCAGTAAACGAGTGGCCAACCTGATCCCGGACTCGGGATCCAAATGGCACCTGAGCCGTAGCCTCCACAGCGTCCCGTTGACCTTTTCCGTGTCGTGCTGTGTATCTAAAGATGGAAAGGTGATGTGGCCTCGGCGGCGCGTCTTGTCTGTAACTCCACCAAGCAGCCGGTTAACGTCGCCGTGCTCCAGAGGGAGTCGAGGTTTTGCCGCGTTTAATTGCGGTGCCTCGTCAGAGGTCGTCTACATGCTCTGCAGCCCCGTCTTTCCGCGCCCGGCTGCCCTCCACACTGGGGTCGGGGGGTCTCCCCGTCTCCCCCAGCCCGTCGCTCTTCCCTTGGCGGTGGAATTGCGGCTGTTGAGGACAGGAGGAACCTTCGCCTTTAAGAGCCTTCATATGTTATCCACGTGAAATCATAGAATCATGGAATGGTTTAGGTTGGAAGGGACCTTGAAGATCATCAACTCCAACCCCCTGCCCTGGGCAGGGACACCTCCCCCCAGCCCAGGTTGCTCCAAGCCCCGTCCAACCTGGCCTTGAACACCTCCAGGGATGGGGCAGCCACAGCTTCTCGGGGCAACCTGTCCCAGGGGATCACCACCCGCTCAGGAGAGAATTTCCTCCTCAGATCTCATCTCCATCCCCTCTCTGTCAGTGTCACACCGTTCCCCCTCGTCCCACGACTCCCCTCCCTGACCCAGAGTCCCCCCCAGCTCTCCTGGAGCCCCTTTAGGCACTGGAAGGGGCTCTGAGCTCTCCCCTTTTTGGCCTTCTCTTCTCCAGGCTGAACCCCCCCACCTCTCCCAGCCTGTCCTCCCAGCAGAGGGGCTCCAGCCCTCCCAGCATCTCCGGGGCCTCCTCTGGCCCCGCTCCACCAGGTCCACGTCTCTCCTGTGTTGGGGACTCCAGAGCTGGACGCATGACCCGTGTTTTTATGCCGTTTCTCCCAATTACAGAATCGCCCTCTCCCTTTGCTCTTTGGCTGTCATTTAGATTTCCTCCTCATCCATGAGCAGAACTGTAGGGCTTTAGTTTTACCTGCGACCGTGTTCTCTGCTCCTCAGCTGATAACTTCTCGTCTTCTCTTGCTCTATCACGCAGCGTCTTTGCGCATCCCAGAAACCGGTGGTGGAGCTCTGGGTTTGTTCTGGGGAGCCGGAGAGAAGGGGGATCCCCCCCGTCCCGTCCTGGGGTTTCGTTCTCTGCCCAGAGAAGCTTCGCTTCGTCTTCCAACACGCTCCCGTGACCTGCCGTGGCGTTCATCCCCTTCCGCCTCTCCTGCAGTCCCTCCTCCGTGTCCCTTCCCTCTCCCGGTCCCCTTCTCTGGTGGGACCCAACGCAAACTCGGCCCCCAGCAGTTTTATCTTGGTTTCATTTGGGGGGAAAGGGCGGTGTAGAGGTAAAAGGAGGGCTCGGTTTAAGTTTGCACCTGGCCTGAAACCTTTGCAGAAGGTCCCCGTTGGGGTTCCGCGCTGCTTTGTGTGGGTCCGTGGTTGGGAAAGCCACGGAGAGGATCTGGAGTAGCGATAACGAGCGCGGCTGATGCTTCTGGTAGACGTTTCCCGTCTGGGCAACGTCCTGCTTTGGTTTTCCCCGTGGAGGCCTGGGAAGGAGACATCGTTCCCCAGAGTTACTCCAACTCCGATGGAAGGGGGATCGTGATGATCAAGGATGTTGAGGACACAGAGTTGAGCGGTGTCCTCCGCTAAGATTTGGCTTGGAAGACTCTCTTCCCACCTCCTTGAGCTGTGTAGATCCCAGCAGAGGTCCATGCCGTTCCCACCACCGAGTTTCATCGTCTTTGAACATGTCCTCCCTCACTTCTGAACCTCTCATCACCTTCCCTCGAATCCCCGCGCCGTGCCGTCCTTCCGAGCCCTCTCCAGCCCTCGGCGCTCTTCCTAGGAGGTCTCGGAGAAGGTCGGCTGTCACATTGGTGAGACGGGCAACGTCACCGCGCTCCGGCTGCTCGCGGCCGTACCGCAGATGGGGATCGCCGAGGGCCGCGGGCCTGTCTCTCCGCTCAGACTTTCTCTGCATCTGCCTGGAGCTTTCCTGGTAAATCCCAACACGGGGCGTTTTATCCACCTGCCTGAAGAGCGAAATTAAATTACTTTTTTTTATTATTATTATTATTATTTGCGTAGGATTTGAAAGCTGAATTCACTTTCTTGAGTTGCAAAATGGGGTTTGAAGAAAAAAAAAAAATATGGAAGAGGGAGTGTGGTGAAGGAGGACATTCCGCCTTTGGGATTGATGTGTCGAGCGAGGAGCGAGGATCTCTGGAAGCTCTCCTTCGTAGGATTGCTTGCCCAGTCTCGGCTCTCTTCGGGGAGAAGGTAGTCTGGGATCCTTCTCCAGGTCCTGCCTGTCCATCTGTCGTGGTTTGGCCTCAGCCAGCAACAAAGAACCACGCAGCCGCTCGCACAGCTCCCACAGCCGTGGAAAAAGAAATCGTCGGGGCAAAACTCGTGGGTTAAAAGAGTGCGATTTAACAGAACAGCAAAAGGAAAGATGAAAACGCGATTACAGCATTGCCGCAGCCCACCCCCAAGTGGCGACTCCTCTCCTCGCCCGGCTAGTTCTTCTTATAGCCCGGGTGGTATGGAATACCCGCCCCCTGCCGGCTCCGGGGGAGATTAACCCCATCCCTGCCGGAACCAGGACACCATCGCTTTGTCCTTTCCCTCAGCCTGGCGAGGTCAGGGCTTCCCTCGGGCTCGGGTTTTGGTGAGGGTTGGGTGCCCTTAGGTGCTGTTGCGCGGCACAAGCGTTGGCCATCGCTGGAATGACACCGCGATGGTGTGTTCGGGCTCTCCTCGGGATGGCTTTGGGGGTAGGGTCTGACCCGCAGGACCGAGCCTCTCTTCGACGTGCGGTTCTTTTGTGGTGAGGAATATTAAAATTGAGATTTGAGTGAGTTTAGGGGTTTATCACGTAGGAAACTCGTTCGTGGCTGCGCTCCGCCGGTCTGAGACGGGATCCTGCAGAAAAACCGATGGGCTGGGGATGGATGAAAACCCTCAAACTGCTTTTCTCACTTCTGGAACGGCCGCTGAAGTCGCCCGAGAGGTTTTTGGCTCTGCCCCTGACATCTCTCCAAGTCCGGCGCTGCTTTACTTGGGGGGACGGGGATGTTGGAGGCAGCCTTGGGCTCGTTGGAAGCTCAGGCACGCTTGAGCCTGCTTCACGGGGACTTTGAGAGGGTGCTCAAACTCCACGTGTTCTTGAGAGGATGTTTGCAGAGCTGTCGTGTTCCTGAACACAAAACCCAGCGTGGGGACACGGTCACCCTAGGGAGATCCAGAAGTCCTCTCTGCTGGTGGGGAGGTCCTCAGGTGTCTTCTGGTCCAGCTAGGTACAAGGCTGCTCGGTCGCTGAAAGCTCTGTGTGTGCCTCTTCCAAAAGTTAATTTATTATTTCACTTGCGAAATTGCATGTTGGGAGTGGGGGTCCTGAGCAGTTCTTCCTTCTCCTGCCGTAGATGACGTGCGTGGAGAAAGCAGGCAACGATGAGAAGATGCTCATCAAAATCTTCCGGTGCTTGGGGAGCTGGTTCAACCTGGGCGTCCTGGACAGCACCTTCATGGCCAACAGCAAGTTACTGTCACTCCTCTTCGAGGTGCTGGTGAGTATTTTTCTGGGGATGGGAGGTGGTGGGGGGTCTCGGGTACCAGGAGGGTGTCGCTTTTAAATCACAGAGTCACAGACTGGTCAGGGTTGGAAGGGCCCTCTGGAGCTCCCTCATCCCACCCCCCGCCAGAGCAGGGGCACCTCCAGCAGTGGCACAGGACGGCGTCCAGGCGGGTTTGGGATGGCTCCAGAG